TGGGGCATCTTGATTCCTTCAGTTTTCACTACTTTTCCTTGTTTGATAGTAAGTGTGGCACATTTGTCCAAGCCAAACTCCATTACAATATCTTGGCTATATATACGGACAGTGTTGAGCAGCGATTCTATTTCAGATGATGTTTTTCCATACAGCTTCAGATCATCCATGTAAAGGAGGTGGGATAGTCTGGCAGATGTTTTTGATGTTTGATAGCCATGTCCTGAGTTATTCAGTATTGTTGACAGAGGAAACAGTGCAATAACAAATAGTAATGGTGATAATGAATCTCCTTGAAATATTCCTCTCTTGATATTAACCTCTCCCAGCTTCTCACCATTGATCTGCAACTGTGTCTTCCATTGTGCCATCGATCTTTGCACAAATTTTCTGATGTTTCTACTGACTCCTGTTATTTCTAGGCACTTTATTATCCAATCATGTGGCAGAGAGTCAAATGCCTTTTTGTAGTCAATCCATGCCACATTCAGGTTGGTCTTCCTTCTCTTGCAGTTTTCCAAGATCATTTTGTCTATTAGGAGTTGATCTTTTGTTCCTCTGCTATTGGGGCGGTTTCCTTTCTGCTCAGGTGGAAAGAGATTGTTTTCAACTAGATGCTGTTGTACTGCATCAGCTACCACACCAGTTAGTAATTTGAAAGTTGTTGGTAAGCAGGTAATTGGCCTGTAGTTACCTGGTGTTGCCCCTTTTGCTGGATTTTTCATTATTAGGTAGGTTTTCCCAGTTGTTAGCCACTTTTCAATTTCTCCTCCTTGTAGTATATTGTTGAACTGCTTGGCAATGAGTGGGTGTATAACAGTTAGATGTTTCAACCAAAACCCATGCAGTTCATCTTCACCTGGTGCTGACCAATTTTTGATTTTCTTTGCTCTTTTTTCTACCATTTTTGTTGTTATTACTAGTTCTTTCATTTCAACTTCTGTTTTATTTGCATCCACCTCTTTTAACCAAGCCGCATCCTTGTTGTATTTCTTTGGGTTATCCCATATCTGCTTCCAGAACTGCACTGTTTCTTCCTTGTCAGGTACTGACTGATTCCTTGCAGTTTCTCCATTGATGGATTGGTAGAAACGTTTCTGATTGGATTGAAATTGGAGGTTCTGCCTATAGTTTGCAATTCGAGCTTCATATCTACTGATTTTCCTGGCTATAGCTGTTATTTGTTGCTTTATTATTTCCAGTGCTTCCTTGATCTTCCTTGTTTCTAAGTGGTATTTCTTGATTAGGTATTCTTTGGTCTTCTTGTTCTTCAGCTTCTTTTCTTTCATCTGTTCTAGCTTGCTTGCATGTGATCTTAACTTGCTGATCTTATTTTCTAGTCTAACCTTCCATTTTTCTGGTGCACTGTTTGTTTGTTTTTCTTCTTTGTTGATTTTGCATCCCAGGTATTCTGTTATAACTGCAGCTGTGCTGTACATTATTTCTTGGGTTTGTTTCTTGCAATGAATTGGTGCTTATACTTGATATTGCAATATTTGCATCTTTTAATGCTTGTGCTAGCTGTTTCTTTGGAACAATCTTCAATGAAGGTAGCCTTATTCTGTTGTTTTTGTGCTGTTCTAGATGCTCAGTTATTCTTTGTTTCAATTCTTTTATTTCTTTAGTTAGAGGGTTTTGTTCTTCCTGAGGTAGAGGTGCCTGGTTTCCAAATGAGAACAGTTGTATATCTCTGCTAGATTCCTTCACTTCCAACTCCCCCTGGTTTGCCTCTACATTCTGAATTACTTCTGGTAAGGCTTTGATTTCTTTGCCCTGGGTAAACCTTTGCAGTTCGTCCAATTCTGTTTCTGTGAATATTTTATTTCGTGTTATAAATCGGCGTTGATCTGCTAGTCTCTGTTCTGTTATTTCTGATTCTGGATGTTGTTCTTTCCAGAACTGGTGCATTCGTTTTAGATATCCTCGTCTTGTTGGACTTGATCTGTAGTAACAGATTATTATTTCTTTGTTTTCAATCACTGTGTATCTGCGACGGGTAAACACCTTTTCTTCCAGTAGTTCTGCAGCTGCTGGCCCTGGTTGCTCAGCCAACAGTCCTGAGTCCTGTAACCCATTTTTCACCAGATATCCAGGAACTCCAATATCTAGTGCGGACCTTGTTAACCCGGGCGACGTCCGAGCCGGTATGGCATTCTGAAATTTACGTCTCACCATATTTTTTATGGGAGAGACACTCTTTGTCTGACTCCTCTGATGAGATCTGTCCAGTATGGTTGAACCTCTGGCATAGCTCTCATCTTCCTCAGAGTACACAAGCCCCACAACCACGTCAAGGTAGTGCCTCACTGGGGGATTATTATTATTATTATTATTATTATTATTATTAAAATGATTTAATTAATTCATCTTTCATAACATGTTTCCTTCCAGTTATGCTATGACTCTATATCCCAGAATACCAGCCAATTTGATACTTAAATCTATTATTGAAATTGTTTACTATTTTAGCTGATATGTACTTTTTAATCAGAATGTATTTTAGAAATAGCAGTACTTAATCAATCTTGTATAGGCCCCAAAATTAAACAAACTGAGCCTAGTTAATATTTCAGTGAGTAACCACCCCAAAATTTCAGTGCTGCAAATTGATGTTGGCAATAAAAATGCATCTGATCAAATAGTCACCAAACAGAGTTCAACAACATGGTGTTTTCTTTGGGTTGGTTTTTTTTTTTTTTTTTTGCATTAGAATTATGAAGATATTATAAGATTTCTCAGATGAGTAGTCTTTATATCTCTTCATCTTTCTCAATATAATTAAAATAGATTAGGCCTATATTAATTATTTGCAGATCTATTCTGAGACCAACATGTTCTGAACAATCCATTTATTTTAGGTTTTTGAGCCTTAAATGTATAAAGAACCATCATCTAGTCAGTACTTATTTTCAGGAACCATTAAATGATAATCATTTCATGCTAGCCAACAAGGTCATTTTTAAACATTCACTGAATTATCATTACATTTATGTATTATAAATCATAGTGTCACTAATGAAGCACTTCAAAGAACTTTCAGGCATGTTTCCTAAAGTCTTTATTACAGAGCTACAATTTTGCCGATCGCCATCATGGACATGTTGATGCCAGAATCTGACTTCCTGTCGCTGGCATCAACCTTTTCTTGCTAAACCCCTCCCTTGTCTTGCAGTCACAAGTCACATTATCCAATTAGTGTGAAGGTCAAAAGTTTACTTCCTCTTTCTTTCCCGGGCTTTTTCTCCCCCCCCCCACTCTAAGCTGTGTATTAACCCAGTAATTACCAGACAGTTTTGCATATTGTCAAAGCAAGAATATACAGTATTTGCAGCATTGACACATAGGTTATAACATCCTCTCTGTATTTTAATTTTTGTAATGTGATGGTAATTTATTTTAATTTGTTTCATGATTGTATACCATCCAGAGTCATTAGTAGTGAGATGGGTGGCTATAACAAAGTGCATGATTGAAAGAATGAAAGAATGAATGAATGATAAATAATCCCTATTCAAGGATAAAATAATACTGGAACAAAATTAGATTACAACCTTCCAATGATATTTTATATATTTGTATTTTTCTTTTAGTCTTCTATTTACTTTTAAAATAAAACCTTCAGGCAGTAAGTCAATAAATTAAATTCAGTGACTTGATAAGTGTATGGTGTGCAAGAATATACACTATATCCCTTCTTTTTCTATTTACATATATTTTGTCACATGGAAGAACATTGATTGATTGATTGATTGATTATGTGCCATCAAATTGTAGTTGACTCTTAGCAATGACATAGATTTTCTCCATCATGATCTGTCCCTAACCTGGTCTTTCAGGTCTTCCAAGAATACACTTATTGCCATTGTAACTGTCATTCCTTAAAGTAGACCAGACCGCGTGAAACCAAAATTATGAAGCTAATGCTACTTTTATTATGTTACATTAACAAAATGTTTCAAGTCTTAAAATACTCCCCTACTCTCTCCCCTTATCTTCATGAGAAATAATAAGAGTAGAACAGAACAGAACAGAATAGGCCTTGGAGATCTTCTAGTCCAAACCCCTGTTCAAGCAGGACACCCTACTGCATACCATTTCAGACAAATGGCTCTTCTTAAAAACTAGTGATGAAGCACCAACAACTTCTGAAGGTAAGCTGTTCCACTGATTGTTTTCACTCTTAGGAAGTTTCTCCTTGATTCCAGGTTGTTTTTCTCCTTGATTAGTTTCCATCCATTGTTTCTTGTCCTGCCCTCTGGTGCTTGAAAAATAAGTTGACCCATCTTTTTTGTGGCAGCCCCTCAAATACTGGAATACTGCTATAGTCTTTCTTTTCTCTTGACTAGCCATACACAGTTCCTGCAACTGTCCTTCATATGTTTTAGAATCTAGGTCTTTAATCATCTTACTTATTCTTGTCTTCACTTTTTCCCAAGTCTCAACATCTTTTTTGCAAAACTGGATGCAGTATTCCAAATGTGGTCTTATTAAGATTTTATAAAGTGGTACTAATACTTCATATGATTTTAATTCTATGCCTCCGTTTATACAACCAAGAATTGTATTGGCTTTTTTTTCGCTGTTGCCACACACTGCTGGCTTATATTTAAGTGATCATTCACAGGAGAACTAGGAAAGGTCTGTCTGAGACTCTCAAATTACATTCCTATGCCAGAATCAAATTTATTTTATCTGACTACTGTCTTGGTTGCAGGTCTTCCTCAAAGTTCTTCCTTCCGCTCATTACAGTAACTGAGTTAATCCACCTTCTTATGGCTTATCTTATTCTTGTCTTTCCTTCCATGAAGAGAAAATACAGTACAGCAATACATTTCTTTCTATAAAAATTCCTTTTATTTAAGAAAGAAATCATTTTTATTATATGGAAACAAAAACTGCTGATATCAGGAACCATGTGTCAGTGGAAAACAAATGCTAACTTAATTAACCTATGTTTCAGGATTATTCCATTGTTTAGCTGCATTTGTTAAAAATAAGACACATACTCATTTGAAATGAGGATAATAAATTGCTATAGAAGTTTTGAGACTGAATTACTGGATTTGGACTTGGAGCCACCAAAACCAAAGAAAATGAAAAAAAAGAAAGAAATGGCTGATAAAAATGAAGATGCAATTGCAAAATGCAATTCAATATCTCACATGAGTAATGGGGTAAAGCACTCAAAAAAGGAGAATAATTCTAGTGAAGATTCACATACAGAATGTGAAAGTGATCAAGATCAGGAATTAACAGCAGAACAAAAGGAAGGTGCTTTTGCTAGTTTTGATATCTTTAAAGCAACTGTTGATCTTCTGAAAGCTCGTGGCGTCTCCTACTTGTTTCCAGTACAAGTGAAGACTTTCATGCCGATACTTGAAGGCAAAGATGTAATCACCCAAGCTCGGACAGGAACAGGGAAAACATTCTCCTTTGCTATTCCATTGATTGAAAAACTTGATAGAGATCCACAAGAAAGAAAAAGAGGCTGTTCCCCGAAGGTACTAGTTCTGACTCCAACCAGAGAATTGGCAATGCAGGTTGCCAGAGACTTCAAAGATATTACAAAGAAACTTACTGTGGCTTGTTTTTATGGAGGAACGGCGTATAATGGACAATTGGATTTAATTAGAAATGGCATTGACATCCTGGTTGGGACTCCCGGTCGAATAAAAGATCACCTCCAAAATAATAAATTGGACATTTCTAAATTGAGACATGTTGTCCTGGATGAAGTTGATCAGATGTTGGATATGGGATTTGCTGAACAAGTAGAAGAAATCTTAATGAATTCTTATAAGAAAGATTCTGAAGATAATCCACAGACACTCTTGTTTTCTGCAACTTGTCCTCAGTGGGTTTACAATGTAGCAAAGAAATATATGAAATCCAAATATGAGCAATTTGATCTAATTGGAAAGAAGACTAAAAAAACTGCTACAACTGTAGAGCATTTGGCCATTGAATGTCATTGGTCCCAAAGAGCTGCAGTGATTGGAGATGTCATTCAAGTCTACAGCGGGAGTCATGGACGAACCATAATATTTTGTGAAACCAAAAAAGAAGCAACTGAGCTGGCTCTTAATGCCTCAATAAAACAGGACGCACAATCTTTACATGGTGATATTCCACAAAAACAGAGAGAGGTCACTTTGAAAGGCTTTCGTAATGGAGCGTTTGAAGTACTGGTTGCAACTAATGTGGCTGCCTGTGGCTTAGATATTCCAGAGGTTGATCTGGTAATACAGAGTTCCCCACCAAAGGATGTGGAGTCTTATATTCATCGCTCTGGACGCACAGGCAGGGCTGGATGGACTGGGCTCTCTATCTGTTTCTACCAGCGCAGGGAAGATTATCAGCTGAAACAAGTAGAACAAAAAGTGGGCATTACATTTAAACATGTAGGTGTTCCTACAGCAACAGACATAATTAAAGCTTCCAGTAAAGATGCAATCAGATCTTTGGATTCTGTTCCTCCATCTGCCATTGACTACTTCAGACAATCTGCTGAACAGCTCATAGAAGAAAAAGGGGCCGTGGAAGCTCTGGCTGCAACCCTGGCTCATATCTCAGAAGCTACATCCATTGAACAGCGCTCTTTGCTTAACTCTGATGTGGGTTATGTGACCATGATACTTCAGTGCTCGGTAGAAATGCATGCCACTGGTTATGCTTGGAGGGGTCTGAAAGAACAATTGGGCAAAGACATTGACAACAAAATATCCAGAATGTGTTTTCTCAAAGGAAAAATGCGTGTATGTTTTGATATTCCAAAAGCTGAATTAAATAAAATAAAGGAAACATGGCAAAATACAAGACGCTGGGAACTTTCTGTAGCAACAGAATTGCCTGAGCTTGAAAATTCACCACGAGAGGGAGGCCGAAGTCCAGCCATGGAATTCAGGAATGGAAGACGAAACGGTGGTTTCAACAGGCATGATCGATTCAGAAATAGGGGCCAAAAACGGACTATAATCAAGCTTTTTGATAATTTGCTAATATATCAAAATGGGACTTGAACTTCTTGTTTTAGCATAAGTAAAGTTAATTTACACTTTATTTATTAGCCTGGCAATTTGTGTTTTAATTATTAGCCTGGATGTGTCTCATTCATTCAATTTGGGCTACAAAAATTCAGGTTGAAAAGATTATTTAAGCACAAGGACTGCTACGCTGTCACAATCGGTTGCAGTGCCCCAATATCTTGGGCACAAATAAATCTCTAACCTTTGGAAATTGGTAGCATGTTAGAAATTTTGAAAATATGTCATGGAATATGTCCTCCTCCCCCATTCTCTGTATTATTTCACTTTTTCCAGACCAATGAGAATGTCTAATGAAACAGTGAATCTACACAGTCATCCATTCTTGCTTTTTAAGAAAGCTTTTGAGGATCATTTCATACCGAGTTTCCAATTCTTGGAAATTGAGATATTTATTCATTCAGTTGGCTTCCCTTTTTAAAAAAATACGATAATTTAGTTAAATCAGTGCCATGAGTCTGACAAAGTATAAAAGCTTTTTGGATTAAGATATGGTGGAATATTCAAAGAATTTTTAAAAGAAGGATAAAATTTACTCCACAACTGTTTTTGTTGGGTATTGTTTCGGATTGTGATGATAAAGAGATTATTTTAATGTTAAATTTAATTACTGCGGCTAGGTTGTTAATAGGGCAATATTGGAAGAAGGAATCTTTGCCTATTTTGCAAGAATGGTTTTTTAAAGTATTTTATTTAGCGGAAATGGCAAAAATTTCAGCTTTTTTGAAAGATCAATTGCAAGAGAAGTACCTTTTGGTGTGGAAAGATGGATAAATTTTATACAATATAAGTATGATATAAGAAAATATCATCTAGCTTTTGAATAATTTATATTTAAAGTTTAAGATATTTATTTAGAAGTGTAATTATTATTATTCTTTATTTTTTTTAATTTTTTTTATTTTCCTTTCTGTTTTTTATATATAATGGAGTTAAAGTATGTTATAATCTGTTTACCGAGTATAATGATATTGGTTTAAGGTTTATTTGGGTTTAAAAAATTTTTTTTTTTCTTTTAAGTTCTAGTTAAGCCTGTATTCAGCTCTGGGAAGAATGGGGGAGGGTTTTGGGGAGGGTTGGGAGGGATTGGGGAAGGGGTTTTATTGTAAAATTTAAAAAAATAATAATAAAAAAAATTGCTATAGAAGTTGTAAGTCATTTCATTTTTCTGTAAAATGTCAAAAGATCATAAAGCATTCACTATTTTTATCATAATAGTGATTAATAGTAAATGATTTTAAAGAGAATTCTATCTGCTATTAAATTAAGTTCTTTGTGGAGGTTATCATTTCAATTTCAAAGCACCATTAATATTATTGTAAGAGATTCAAAAGCCAAGCTGTAAGTGAAATAAGAAACAATGCAATCAATATCAGAAATATACATGTGTGACGGATGAGAAAAAAAACAACCAGATATCATTTTAGTAACATTATAAAAAATAACAAGTATTTCTGATATTGGTTTTGTCACATAGCAAGTGCAGTGTTTTTAGAATTGACAGGAATAAGAATTTTTAGCAATACAAAAGAAAAATTACAGCACTGCTAATTATCCTTTATGCTTTTATCAGTAACTATACTAAAAGATTAGCTAGTGAAATTATTCATAAAATAAATGGAGGCTTTGTTTTAATATATTACTGGATGATTTTGAGATTTTCTGCAATTACCTAGTCCACCTCTGAAGGAAGTGATTGTACATCCCCTTCTTAAGAAGCTCTTGCTGGACCCAACAGTTCTGAAAAGCTATTGCACCGTCTCCAACTTTCTTTTTTTAGAGAAGGCTATTGAGAAATTAGTCAGACAGCACTAGCAGATGCTAATGCTGTCCTGCCAGTCCTCGGAAGAAATGCTCTTTTGCCCTTCTTTTATCACCTAGATACACTCTGATGCAACAAATATGCAAAATGCTAATGTAGATTTGGTCTGTAGCAGACCTAAACTACTAAACATTTTTTAAAAAATGTGATACAGCTGCTTGGTAAAAAGCTGAAAGTCAAAAAAAAAAAAAAAAAAAAGCAAGGGAAAGTGAAAGTGGCAGATAACAACAGGGAGATGCTAAAAGAAAATGTCAGGAGGGGATAATTTTTAGACCTAGATTTGTTTTATCCCTTCAAATGTATCTTGCCAATCCTATAACATTGTTACAAATATATGATCAGAAGAGTAAGAGTATGAACACCCTGTGTATTTGTGCAGAACAGATGGCTCCATAGAGCTAACCTTTGCATGCAAATCTGTATTTATAAAGGCTGCTTGCAAACAGATGTTCTTTTTCAAGGCTGGAATGTATGCAACATGGAAAGCGTTATTCAAGTATCTGGAAGATAGCACTACAGAGTGAAAAAAAAATATCAGTGAAAATGGGATGGACATAAGTAGCAAAAGTGATTTAATGGAACTTTGTAGGTATACAGTTTCAGCAAGCCCAAATTTATGCACTGACATTTACATGAACATAAGTTTAAGAAACAAGGCATCAGGAAGGGCACCTAGCTAGTAAATGCTCAGCTCCATTCAGTTGCCCAATTCCACCCTGATGTAAAGGATTACAGGGTCATTAAAAGAATAAGAAATGAGAAATTCCTTTCACTAGAAATACAGTATATGTGTAATCTCAAAGCAATGATTAATTAATAAATAAAATACTACAGTAAAGCATGAAATCTTGAACTAGAATTTATCCATTATGTGTATGCAATTAAGGCAATCCCATTGCGAAACAGGGAGATTGTACACAGATATCTGAACAAGTGTCAGCTAACAGATAAACATTTGTAACCAATTTATATTGTGAAAGTGATATAAAAATTTCTTTGTGTGTGTGTGTAATTCTATTTACATATCAAAAATATGATATTTCATCAGCTATTATTCAATATATTTACATTCAACTAACTGAAGTAGCATAGAGGTTAGAAATTGTTTTATTTTTATAGTGGAGGTTTTCATCTTATTGGATTCCATAACTCTAAATCCATTTCTACACTGTGAAGTGCAAACATGGAATTGATAAAGCTCTGAACATAACTTTGGAAACAGTGAGATATGAATGCCTTATAGCACCAGTTCAATGCCCCTAACTGATCAGGTTGACATACTGAAATGTGAGACCATTATGTTCATAATGGTTTGTCATTATTTTTATAAATTACTTAAATAGAAATTGTCCACACTATAGGTCTGATTCAAAATAAGCAATATTACAAATGTTAAACAGAAAACTCTTAATTCAAATGTCTGCAGGTAGTTATTACTATAAAGTATATAGTAATACTATTGTATGTGCTATATAGATAAATATGTAGGAATTTCTCTACATGATTAAATTGATAAAGTAGTGGAATGAGATCAGGCTAAAAAAATAAGTAAAGGAAAAAATATTTTTTTTCAATTAAAAATAAAAAAACAGTTTACTTATTTTAATTTTTAAATTCTTAAACAGAAAAAAATAAATAAACCATGGAAAAAGAAACTTCAAAACAGGGAAGGTAGTGATGAATTTTTCAAGACAGAGAACAAAAGGCCAAGAACTCTTGTAAACTCTTGTAAATTGACACTTTGCAACAGGGAAAATATTTAGGTTTTTTTAATTTTTTTTAAAAAAATTAACAAACAAACGAAGGAAAAAAGTCATGGGAATAGAGACTGGCCCTACAGTGACTTGCAAAATGTGCCATGTGTTTCAGCTTATGCCCACAGAAGACCCAAACTATGTATGTACCAAATGTAAACTGCTTGAATTACTAGAAGAAGTAAAGGATCCAGAGGCAATTCTAGCCACTCTGAAACTGAATGAACGAAAACATAATGAAGTAGAGAGTGATAGAAAGGATGGAAATCCCAGTTACAAAATAGGAGATATATAAGAAACGTATCCAAGACACATAAAGGACTCAAATGCTTATACACTAACACTCAAAGTTTAGGGAAGAAACAGGCTGAAGCATTAATACATGAAGGCAGATAAGACATAGTTACCATTACGGAAACTTGGTGGAACTCAAGACTGGAATATACTGATGGAAGAATACAAACTATTCAAAAGAAACAGACCTCTCAAAAGAGGAGTGGAGATCCATTATATATAAAAGATCATTACATCTCTACAGAAATCCACAAAACCAAGGATGAAAACCTCCTAGAATCCATATTGGTTCATATAAAAGGGGGGGGGGAAAGTGACATTGCTATAGGTGTATACTACAAGCCATCCAACCAAGCAGAAGAAATAGATGAACTCTTTGCTTATCAGTTAACAAATGTATGTAGGAAACATACTACAGTAGTAATGGGAGACTTTAACTATCCTGATATCAACTGGGAGACAAACTCTGCAGCAAGAGGGAGATCAAATAGATTCCTAACCAACTTAGCTGAGAACTTTGTCATCCAAAAGGTAGAGGAGGAAACTAGAGGAAAAGCTATACTGGACTTAACTCTTACTAATAGAAAAGAAATGATAGATGGAACTGAAGTTGCCAGAACCTTGGGTGAGAGTGACCATGTCATACTGGAATTCAATATAATGCAAACACAAGCAATAGAATATAATCCAACTGGTGTCTTAAACCTTAAAAGAGCTGATTTTAACAAACTCAGACCCTAAGAAAAATTCCATGGATAAAAATCCTAAAGGGGAAAACAACTCAAGAAGCATGGGAAACACTGAAAAATATGATCATAAAAGTCTAGTCCAATACAATACCACTGAAAAATAAAAACAAGAAATCCAAAGAGAACCAGTATGGTTGCATGAAAATCTCTCTAATAAACTGAAGGACAAAAAGGGATAAGTACAAAAAATGGAAAGAGAGACACATAACTAAGGCAGAATATCAGCATATAGGCCGAATCAGCAAAGATGAAGTCAGGAAAGCAAAGGCTCAGAACAAACAAAGACTTGCAACAAAAGTCAAAGATAATTAAAAAAAAGTTCCTTTCAAAATATAAATAACAGTAAAATAGTCACGGAAACAGTCCACTAAAGAGCAACTAAGATGATTAACGGCCT